GCTATCTCTTGAAGTAGTGTGCTTCCTAGCTAAAATTCCTAATTTGTCTTTCCTTTGCTGCCTGTCAGGCACCAGATCTGTCATTCATGCAGTTACTAGCCATAAGCAAAGTGCAGCTATGCACATCTCCATCTTCAAAGCATGCCTGTATTTTTCTGCTGTCAGAATTCAGTGAACACAAAATGGCCTCTCTTTCTCTCTGAGGGGAGAGAGATACACATAGGTGGTTCTACACATCCCATTAAACCACCCAGCAAATAAGCCTCAGTGGGCCAGTTGTTGACAGAACCCACAGTGAAGCCATCAAATGGCCCAGCTCGCTCCCCTCATCTTTCCCCGTGGTCCTCCGGTGAGCATCCCAGGGTCCTTCACTGGCGTGCCCACTGTGCCTCCCCACTCCAGTTGCAGGCCCTTTTCATTTGCCGCCTTTTAGTTTTCAGAGCATGAAAAAGGCACAACTGGGGATCTTTCTTGGGATTATTCAGCCCAAGAAAATTGTGCCACTCCTTACATTATTTTGGTCAACCTTTCACAGGTGTGTCCACGTGCATTTATGGCTATCTGCTCTTCGGGCTTGCCTGTTAAATGTCTTTGTGTGTTTCAGCTGGTAAAGCAGGCCAAGCAAAACAGCGTATAGAGCCATTTGTGCACAGTTGTCAGGGACCAAGTGCCTAGCTGTAAGTTTAGAAGGGGGTGGGAGGGAAGCATCCGCAGATGGTGTGCCTAAAGGGGCTGAAGGCAATAACTCTGCCTTAGTAATGTAAACCTCTTGATTTTTAGTGTTGAACTGACAGTTCACAGTGCCCTCCATCTTTTCAGCAGTTCCCAACTCTCTAGCTACTCCAGTAGATATGAAATTCCTTACTGCTGTGGGTACTGTGATTCCCTGGCAGCCCTAAAAACATGGAAAGAAATGTATAAAAACCAAATAGCTAGGGAGTAAATGGAAGAGAAATTTGTGCTAATTTAAGGACAGGACTGTAAATGGAGGGGTAATTTGTGCACCCACAGTAATGGAGTAATTAATATAGGTTTGCAAATTTCCCTTTCATTTACTTTGCAGCCATTAAGCTCACATACCTTTTTGCTTTTGCCAGGGAGCCAAAGAACCCTAATTTGTAAATGCTCTGAAAAGAAGGGGTGGACATAATGGGTGGGGTCAACACAGCCTGAGGAAAAGTTGAGCAGTGTGGGTTGTTTGTGAAAACCACAGTGTACCTAGCGGATGATTGACCTCACTGTGGGTTGTTTTCACTCAGATCCCCTTGGTCCTCCTGAAGGTATCCCTCCATCTCTTGCACTGTCTTTCCTTCCCTGCTTCTTACCACTGCAGCATCTTTCCATTCACCACCACTTTATTGGAAGCTTCAAATTGCTGCAATTAGGGCTGTTCCATTTTTTTTAGCACCAGAAATGTGTACAAAGGCCTAGGGTTTTTAGGGGGTGGAGAGGATCAGCAGTCTTTCACACTAGTGCAAGTGCATTCCTGAAACTTTCTGACTTATGTAGTCTTTCCTGGTCAATGCCCCTATCAGTTTCAGCTGTCAAATGATGGATGAAGTGAAACTACATATAAACTAAATGGTGAACAGTTGACCACTGTCAGTTGCTGAGGAATCAACTGGAAAGCACTTGCAAAGGGGGAAAAGAACAGCAGTGCAGATACAGAAAGGGGGAAGCTTAAAATTTTCCCCTTAGCAATGTGATCCTCTCGATTCCTTTTGTGTCCTGCCCAATGCTTCTAAGTCTGCAGCTATTTCAGAAAGAGAAAATGTGAAGGCCAGCCTGTTTTGGCAGCTCCCTTTTGGACCAGTCATGGTGGTTCTGTGGCAGAAAAGCCAGAGGAGGTGACTCAATGGGGTGAAGCTGATGGGTCAATGTACATACGGCAGAGAGTTGGAGAAGTGTTGAAAAGTTGGAGGGTGCTGAGAATTGTCAATTCAACACGCATTGAGATGGTTACATTGTGATGGGGAGACACCTCTGTTGGTGCCCCTGCCTTTTAGCGGTGCTTTGCACTTGGCAGCTAGATAGCTGCAGGCAACTGTGCACAAATTCGCCTGTATATAGCTTGACTGCATAAAGCTGCAGAAGAAATTGACCAGGAAAGACACGTAGCAAGTAGCCTCACGTACGCACTTCCACTCCTGTGAAAGACTAATTGTAGTAGTAGTAATTTTGATCCCAGTTGTTCATTGTCGAGGTCCCTTAAAGGTTAAAATGCAAGGAACAGCCATCCTTCCAAAGAGCCAACTTCCATGTTGGCCCAGCCCATCAAGAAGGGAAGCAGGCTGGCAGCCTAGACCCTGAATAATGCTTCCATGACCCACCTTTTGGAGGAAGAATACAGGAACCTGTGCAAAGCCCAGTATATATTTCTCCCCGATGGCTTGGTTTTGGCTGCTCATACTGGTGCAGGCAGTGAGTATACCACTTCAGGTGTTTTGTTGTGGAATTAAATCTGCCTACTGCTGCACCACCTCTCTCTCTCTCATACACACACATACACAAGCCAGGGGGCCAGAACACCACAAAGCCCAGGCCTTATGAAGAATACAAAATGGGACCAGGCTGCAAACTCAGCTGCTGCTGCTTGCAACTGAAAACAATGCCAAGAAGAAAGCAAATTGGCGTGTGCCACCCCTGCACCCCAAGTTTGCTGCCAGTGTAGAGGGTGAAGTTCAGAGTTCCAGTGGTAAAGGATCCTCACCCAACTAAAATTCTTGATGTGTCTGGAACATAATTGCTCTTTCCTGGAAATCACTAGAGTGAACCAGTGTGGCATGGTGGTCAGAGTGCTGGGCTGGGGATCTGGGAAACCCAGATTATGGTGCGCACTTGACCATGCAGTTCTCTGGGTGAATCTGGGCTGGCCAGTCACTCTCAGCCTAATCTACCCAACAGAGTTGCAGTTAGGAAAATAATGGAGCAGAGAAGAACAATATAAGCCACGTTGTAAGAGGGAAAACGGCTATAAATGCAATGCAGTAAAAATAAACAGATCTCTTTTCTTGGGTGCTTAAGTGCAACTAAATGAACTATGAAAGCCTAAGAGAATGCGACATGTGCACACAGAGATCACTCATACAGAATCTTTCTGGCTGAATCAGAGGCAGACGACAGCAAAAGTCATTTCAGCCAGGACTCCTAATGCTTAGTTTCAAGCAAGAGGACAGAGCTCAAGTGTTGCGACTGTCTTGTTGACACAAGAGTGATTTATGCAGCTACATAATGACAGATAGCAGTGGTGTTGTAGAACACACATTTGAATTTAGTTTCTTTACCTTTCCACATTCTGCACATCTTCATGACCAAGCAGAACTGGAGGAAATGCAAAGCCTCTAGAAATAAATATGGTTTGCAAAACCAAAGTGTTTGAAATTAAATTTCACTGACCCTTCAATGCAAAGCAGCATGTAAATGATGCCACAGTGCCCTCTTGTGGCAGCAAGTCAATCCACAAAACCCAATATAGCAGCAATCGTTTTCCTAAGAGCTCGTCCACACATACACGTGGACAATGCTTATTGGGGATTAAGTAACCCATGTTGGGCAGTCATGCCATGCAAACAGCCCTAATGAGAGGAAATTAATGTTGCACAAGCGAAAGCCTGCTCATATAGTAAGACTTCCCTTTCTTTTCCATCCAGCCTTATGAATTCTGCTTTCAGGTCCTGCCAACCCTTTGTAGTGCATCTAGGAGGTGGTAGGGACTGCAGGGGATGGGGAATCTGTTCTGCTGATACTGTTCCGATGATGGATGAAAACATTCTTCTGATTATTCATTGCTTAGTGCCTTGTAGCCAAGCTACAAACTTTCTCTTTGATAACACTGTTTGATGTTGTGTATTGCCATTTTATCATATTAGATCCGAGTCACACACTTGTCAACAGTTTTTCAAAAGCTGCTATGGATCTCAAAATTGTGAGTCCTTAAACCTACTTTCTCCAACCTGCTGCCCTGTGGATGTTTAGGATTATAACTCCTAGCATTTCCGACAATTAGCTATGCAGGCTAGAAACATTGAAAGCTTGAATCCAAAGTATCTGGAAAGTTCAAACTGAAGAAGGCAGCCTTAAATTATTCCATCTTTCCTTTTCCTTTAAAAGGAAAGGATTACAAGCTGATCCTTTGTATTCCACTCATGGGAGGTTGACCTCAGTTACAGGATGACTCTTGGTCTGCCTTTGACTCTTCTCGGTACACTTTTCTTCCTCCATCATCCAATCTTATGGAAATTCATGTCATGGGCAATTTGACATTGAATATGAAGGAACCAGAAGACAGCTGACATATCCCTCCTTTAGATGAGTGCTGCCATTTTGCATAGGGTTTAGAATACTCATGGCAATTAAAATTCTTCTAAGATCAAAGAGGTGCTATCTCATCAGAGTAGACTAGAAAATCCAGCTACAATCTGAGTTAAGAGTCTGTTGCCACACAGGTTTGCTTATTCTAGGTGACAGGGTCTGTTTTCATCAAAACATGAAAACAACCTGGACCTTGCAGAACATGCACTAGGTCATCAGTGCAAATCAGGTAAGATGTTCCTTTATTTATTGAAAAAATGTTTGAACTGGGCATCAGGACATCGCATCCACAGCTAAGCTTGGCATGTTTCAGCAGCAGTGGGGGAGGGAAGAGCCTTAGGATCAAACCAGATGAAAAAGGTTGGTCCATGGGCCCAAGTAAGCTCCACTCATCTGTAGCTCCAATCTAGAACAAAAATAATACTTAAGTCCCACTGAACCCATGTTTAGCTTGTCAGTTACCTGGTGTAAAACAAAGACAAAGGTGTGCTAGTGGCAAAGATCTCCCAGAGGTGAAAGTGGAGAGTTCATATATTTGTCATTAGCACAGTTTTTGAGAGAGATTCCATTATTTAAGTCTCCAAAAGGTAAAAACTAAGTTTACCTACTACCTGGAAAAATAAACCACTGCCTTCAAAAAGTAAACTAGACATTTTCTTTAAAGGTTCAAAGAAGACCAACACCAAAGATTTAAGAAATTGTGCTTTAATACAAATTATATGTAAAATCTATTCATTTTAAAATCTTTACATTTCTCAGAACATCTGATTCTTTATAAACCTTAAGTTCATCACCTTATTAAATACGTTCTGTAACAATGCCATGTTAAGCATGGAAAACATGTATTGCACAATCATGGTGAGAAATTCAGTCTAGTTATATGAATTGGCAAATTATCCAAGCAACATTTTAGACTTGGCCTTAACACTAATTTTGCAATAGAACAAATTAAGTCACTTTTCATGAACGAAAGAGCTATTTTACAGAATAGCATTGCTAAAATTCAACTGAACTTTAAGAGAAACTGGACATTTGAGAGAAACTGGACAATTCTTTTACTTGTAAGCTTGATCTAGTTCCCCCTAACTCCACAGTTTTAGTGCAATCTTAGCCAATATGTCAAATGTCCATTTGGAATGATCACAGTACATATTAGCACCTACAAACACTGGCTGTAAGGAAAGATACAGCCTTCTCCATTTGCATTTTTATCTGTACTAAAACGATTAAAATGCTAGCTGATTGCATGGAAAGGAGTATATTACTTCCACTGGAAGTACATTTCTTCTGGAAGTTCCCAGGAAACTCACAATTTGGAACTTAGCATTAGCCTGATTAAAGGAAAGCTCTTTACCTTTTGAAGTGGGAGGAGGGGTATATTTCAAATGTATTATTTAGCAAAACATTCCAAACTGTAAGCCCCCATTTTGATACTTAACATTTTATTAGGCACAAGCTTTGCTAATTGGAGAAGCAAGACATACAATCTTCATTGAAGAGTCTACATAGTTGTATGTGCTAATGTGGATCTGCTAGTTACACACCCAGCAGAATGCATTAATTATGTACATGCTCCTCGTGACCACATTTCTTCATCTGACAACATGATTACAGCAGAGGTGAACTGAACTGTCTTGGTTTGCACCTTCTTTCACATTTTGAGTGTACTGTGGCCTGGATCCCAAAAACTATGAAATGAATGCCGTAATCCCAAGAAAGCATGAGTTTTTCATCCCAATGCTAAAGTGCATTTAAAAGTCTCCTCAGCTTCAAAAGCAATTGGTGATGAATCACCAAGGATGGGATTCATCTTTATAAAAATGGACTTCTAAAATTCTTTGGATCGCAGTTCAAGTTTTCCACTAAAAGACCATTACTCTGAAGTGTCAGTTCTTCTGTCTTACCTGTTTCTTCCTGTGTTCATTATTCTAGGGAAGACAGACATGCCTATCCTAAACTGCTCCCCGTCAACACATACATTTTTATCACCTGCACTGTCCTAATAACTTGGGATATACAACTCCTGAAATTTTGCTTGATCTCTAATTCATGAATCAAACATCGTAGATGTATTTTCAGGAAAAGAAAAAAAGAAAAGTTATTAAAACCTAGCTTCATTCACCTCGGTATGATAGTTTTTATAGCACTGTGTATTGTGATTCTGATCTGCTAACTTTCGAAGAAATGGCATTATCATGGAAATAGGAAGGAAATACGAGTAAAACACAAAATATGCGAGGCAAACAGAAGCGAACTTGGAGATCCCTGAGATTCATTTGTTTGCCAAAGAGATTAAGCAAGTCCTAATTATTTATTTAATAAATATTAGGTGGTTAACTTGGAATACACTTAGGAGAATAATGCCTGTTCTATGAATTATCAGATTGAATATCTAATAAAACAGAGTATTTATATGTTTATTTATAAGATGTGATCTAAATTATCTCAAAAAGGAAAATGTTTATGCATTTAATTTTATTTGATCAACTACTGAAAAACAGTCCTAAAAATGTTTAGATTATACTCTGTAATAAAGGAATGTGGATACTACTGTCAAGCCTTTTATCTCCTGGAAAAAACAGAGGTCTGAAGAGATGACTAGAAGGAGAAGGGAGGCTTTATTGATCAGAAACAAAACCTTAGGGTCACACCCATTTTAGTTATTGTGCTCAAAGTTGCTTCAAAATGAGGCACCAAAACATTTACCTTAAGACAGGTAACATCTGTCACAACTGAAATGGGAAGCAAAGGCCGGAACATCTCTGAGAATCAACTCTGCTTCACCTCCTCTGCTATAAAAAATACTTGTCCAGAGAAGGGGCTGCAAACACCTATAAAATACTCAATTCTCATTTGGTGTGAAAGAGAGTGTATAACCCTCAAATACTACTTGGGATGTTATTTATGTTCAGTGTAAGATTGTTTTAAGTTAGTAAAAAGGTTATGTCTTGAGGAAAAAAGGGCTAAAAGTCTTGGCTCTGTGAAGTGACAAAGTAAGAAGGCACTAGATCCAAAAGCCTGCATATTAGAACTACAAGGAATGTAAATACTAAGATTCTGTCTCAGTTCAGTAGATCTCCGAGAGAGGCACAAAACAGAAGATAAATTTAAGCAGAAGAATATTGTGAATATCTTCAAAACAGCAATGCAAGGTCATCACTGAGATGAGTGGTTTTGTGCATTTATACCTACTACAAGGCACCTGGTTTAAAATTTCTGGTTTCAGAAACTAGTAAACTCCACACACCTTGAATATGCCATTCAAATTAAAAACACTGTTTTCAACATCAGCCTAGATGTTAGTCCTGAACACAGTGATGCAATACCATGGTTGATATTACAAGTTGCATTTCAGTTAGGACATTTTCAGCAAGACATTTTGAGTAAACAAGAACCTATGGATATTTTCCTACCTGAGCAATAATTAGTACTGTTTATTGCTAGTGAAATAAACAAGCTTGATGAGTAAAATTGCACATTCCCTTTTCTTTCCCCCACCCAAGTTTTTATTCTTACTTTGGAAATAAATTTAAAATTATAAGTTCTCTCCAAACATTCTCATTTAGATCCTAAATAAGAGATGGTGGCAAAGTAGCATATCTGGCACAATTCATGTGCACTTTTTTTCTTTTTAGAGCTCTTTTAACTAAGAACTTTTGGCCTTAAGAACTCTTAAGTTTCACAGATAAGAATTTAGCTCACATTAGACTGAATGTGCCGCTTTTTACTATATATCTCAGTTACAACTGCTCTCTAGCATAGGATCCCTGTTTCAACCAAAGGAACCAAGTCCTTCACTTGCAGCTGCTATAAGCAATGTAGCTTTTGAGGAACCATCTTCAGAACAACATGTTGCCGTCCACTCTTTCAGAAATGTCAGGCCTTGTTCAGATCAAGCCCACCATCTGATCAATCTGTCTCATATAAATACTCTTCAGAGGCAGCAGGTATCTCCTCTCATCTGGTACTCTGTTGCACTGTAAACAGAAGGAGATTTGTACATTTTTAAGTTGAAGGTCTGTACAGCACAGGAGTGAAAACTGATTCTTACCATTGTTTTTTAGAAGACAGAGTAAGCACACGGTAGCACCAATCAACTCTAGAACAGATCTCAGAAAGCCAACATGTTCAGATAGTAAGAGCTTGTCTCCCATACATATGGAACACTCTTTATGTATGGAACACTCAAGCACAACTTAATCTTTAAATAAATATTAAATAATCCCCTGCACTGAAAAGTTTGCCTTTGAAATATTGAAAATGAGTTCTGGTGACTTCCAAAGAAATAAGTATCATCCCTCTGCTAGGACCAAATCAACTGTTACATTTTAGCAAGATCAACTAGCCTAACATTTTAAAAATGCTTCTATGACTAAGATTGGCGATCACCAGAGAAAGGATATAGCTTGCTTTTTATATAAGCCACCAAGAGAGCCTTTGGCTAAGAGGTGTGGCATATAAATGTAATAAAGAAATACATACATAATGAGTGAACTGTGTTGATTGTAGTGTTCTTCTTCTGACTACCTTAGCCAAAAAATATCTTTGTTCAGATAATTTTTTTTCTCCTGGAACATAGGAGTACACTTACTACTAATACTAAGAATACTAAATTGGGAGTCTCTTCATAAAGCAATAACTGGGCAAGCCCTTCATATCTACATAGTTTTGAAGACACTGGGAGTAAAGGCTCATTTAGAAAAACATACTCAAGTTCTGGTCACACACTTCAAGGAGGATGTCAAATTGTAGATAAAACAAATTAAGGGAAGAACTGTGTGCAATAATGTATAGAAGACAGATAACACGACAGAAAGGCTGAAGAATTTAACTCACATAACTTTCCTAACATTTGGATGTTAAAACAGAAAAAACTGTCCTTTCCGTGACTACGGAGTAAAACAGTAAATTGAATGATCACAAAGTTCTGCCACACATTAGGGAAAACCTAATTCATAGAAGCACAGAAACAGAGCAAGTCAGAAGGGGCCTCTTGGGGCCTCTAGTCTGACCCCCGGCTCCAGCCGGCTCCCCTCACAACATGCCCGTGTAAAATAACTGTGATGAACAAGTGCTGTCCGCATAAATGTTCTCCATCTGGATAGGAATTTCTTAGGAATGTTTCAAACTAGAATAAAGCATAATGCTCCCACAGTGCTGTGCCTCAAAGTGCTACCACGATCATGCTAGTGTCTAAAATGCTACAATGTTTTGGAGATTCAATTTTCCCTCCAGCATTTTGCCTTCAATCTACTTTCAAATCTTGATCCACACCTGGCTATATAATCAACACTTCCATTATATATACAAAACAGTGATGCCTAGAAGAGTATCCAGGATAAGTTATCTAAACACTTGTGCTTGCCCCTAACATCTTCACTTCTGAGATACATTTTCAGTTTCTTGCAGGCAGCCAATCAAGATTTTGCATCCGTCTTCCAAATATCTCCCCACCTCACGAAAACATAGAAGCATAAAATGACTATACAGTTCATCTGAGAATATGAAAGGAATTATTAAGCATTTGTCCTCTCTATTATCCATACTGCATTAGTTAAACAGTTTAATAATTTCCTTTTCCAACATAAAATATTTGAAGAGATACTAGTGATATGCTTCTTGTAAAACAGAAATCCTTTTCTGTCTTAAGCCATCATGCCCTAATAAAACATTATACATTTCTAAAGATTACTTAGCAAAATCATCTGTTATTACGGTACATGACACTACACACAAATATAAAGCACTGGTTTAAGCTTACATTTGAACTGGAGTTAACTGCTTTTAGTTCATTAGGCTTCTGCTTTTCATCTTTCTTCTGTTCTTCAGAGAAGGTATCTTGCCACAGTGAAACACGAAGACGTTTATCCAGTGACACGATGTGGCCTTCTGTGGTAAACATATACCTATTGCCTGATTTGTGCACTGGGTTTTCCTCATCAAATAGCTGGAACAGAAGAGAGTGTATATAGCCTTTACGGTCCAAGACTGGCACATGCTGCATCAGCCTTGTCCTGCTGATACAGACCAAGCAGCAAATCACATCGTTAGTAACAGCCATGCAGAGATTTTCAGGAGACAAGGTATATACAGGCTTAAAGTCTCATCAGCGCGTCACAAGCATTCTATTCTTGCATCAATAAATTATATCATGACTCATTCTAGGTGGGCCTATCACTTTTGCGAATTAGTTTTACTGAACAAGCCTTTAAAAAAAAAAACCTCCAAAGATGACCATGAGGATACATACCAAATACAAGTATTTACATGTTTCACTGAGAAAAAAGCTTTCCATCCGATCTTCTTTGGACTTTTCTATGACATGGTGCAGAGTAGCATAGCCACATCTGAAAGGAACATTTGCACAGATTGATTTGTCACCATTTTGGCAGCTTGAACCACCACTGGGAAAACTACAACAGGCTAAGAATAAGGTAGTCACATTTCAGGTATCTTACAAATCTTACTGCTGCTACTGGTTTGAACAGTATAGCTTTTCTAGTTACCTCTAAATATGGAACTGTCAGATATGAGACACCAAAGCAACTAACAGATCTGGTATCTTAGTGAAACACAATGCCTCTGGTGACACCTTTGTTTCAAAAGCTGATTGAGGCAATGCACTTTGCTTTGTTTCTTTCTCAAACGGAGGCCAATAGGTAGGCTGTCACGATGGTACATTAGCAAGGCTTTTAGAACTGTTTTCAACATGAATATTTCACGCACTCAAATGGTGTGGGCAGAAATATCACTCTAACACTTAAAGGCAGGGGAAGTTTTCAGTCCAGTGGAGACTGAAATAGAGAGTTCAAGACATTTTCTCCTAACGAAAAAAAATTAGAAAATAGGATTGCAAGAGCTACTCTGTACGTGCCTAAGATCCTCAACTTTGAACTGCCCATGATATATAGGGCTCCTTCTGGAAGTTCCCCTGGCTACAAGAGACATCAGTAGCCACAGCCTGGTGAGTGGAGCCCATCCTGTAAGGGCCATGGTTATTTTCCCCAAGACCCACAGCAGTCCAGAAATTCAACAGCACAGTGGCAACTGGAATATTTGACAACAGGGAGGCTCACCTTTGTTCCTTCCTCTGACTCAACTGCTTTATTCTAAACACTGTCAGTTGTCTAAACAGCACAGTCCCATGGCTTCTAGACAATGTCTAGACAGTCACAGAATTTCCTGGATTCCCAAGCTAAAGGTTGGAAAATCGCTCCAACCTCTAAGCTCATAGCTGGAAATCCAGACTCAGACCCTCCTTGCAGCCAGCGCAGGGAGAACTATAGTAGTTGCTTCTCTGAGGTCGTAACAGCAACTTTGGAGAAGGGCTTTTGGGGGCATTCTGGGGAGTGAGGAAAGAAAACTGGTACCACCAAGATATGAGGTACCTTGGCAATGCCTCAGCCTCCATCCCCCCTGCCCTGATACATTAAACTTAGGTGGCCAAAACTGGCCACTTACAGAGCAAGAGAAATGCAGGAGTGACATTCACCTCTATGCTCCATTGGCCCTCCATGGATGCCCACAATCCTCCAAGTTCAGATATTTATGGGCCTCTCCACAGGATTGCAACCTACGTATTTTTGACTTGCAAGTAAGATATAAATATTCCAAGTAAATGAATGCAATATTTGCCACATAACCTCAGAATAATGTCCAAGAAACACAAGTCCAAGCAATCCTTGGGAGTATGGACACAACTGTATAAGAGTGTAATACTTTGTAAATGTTATAAATGCTGTGGCTAGAATCCAATCAATGTTATAAATGCTGTGGCAATCCTATGCATATTTTCTTGGCACTAAATGCAAATAAAATCAATACTGCACACACCCAAGAAAGTGGCATAACTTCCCATCCTCAGCTTTTCATATACCTATTCGATGAAACATCTAAAGTTTATTCAATGTAAACAGGCATGCTTGTTCAGATTATGTCACATGCAGCACTATTCTAAATTAAGATTTCTAATTACTAAAAAGAAAGGGTTTCAATCGAACTTAGTCTTTATTTTCCAATGCCTACACACAAAGTTAATATAAAAAGGAACTTCAAAACTAACTTTGCTTTTGTGTATTTCTCCAAACTCTGAAGAATATCCATTCCTACATGAAGGTAAAAGGGATTCTTTGTGGCCTAGATAAATAAAGGAAATATATTAGAAGAAACTGGATAAAACCACCTATCCCAGACCATGGAGAAGTACAGCTAAACAGTCTCTACCTACTGAATCATATGATCCATGAAGGAGTGCACAGACATTATAAAATCAGTTATGTCTGTGCTGCAAAGACTGCCAGAAGCCTTTCATTTCATCATCCATTCATTGATAGAAATGGAGTTTGTGCAAATGTGCTTGTACACATTTGTGCATGCCTCGAGCTGCACAAATTTGTACTTATGCAAATGTGCAAATCGCTCCAAAATACACAAATTGCTGAAAATATGCATTTTGGCCTATGGAAAAATTAGTTTTTGGTTGTTTTAACATATTATTCTGCAATTAAACTTGTATAAAATGTTGCAGAATTTTAAAAAGTGTACAAGTCTTTGTACTTGGAAAAGTACTTTGTACAGGAAAAGCCTATGTGCTCTGGAATCTGCAGGGTGGATTCTTAGACATTCAAATTCATTTGAGTCCACTGCCAGTTTTTAAAATATCCATGTGCTAGTGACCTGATACCATGGTTTGATCCCCATTTGTACCTAACTAGATTTTGAACAAATCATAGTTTCTCCCATTCCAACAGTAGACCTCTCTGCCACATACAACCATATGGCATGTCCCTTTCAAATCACTGGAAACCTCCTTGAGTCTAACAGCGGCTTCTTGTGTTACACTGAGGAACTGCATAGATGAAACATGCCTCTTTGACGCATAAAACTGACTGCCATTCTTTGGATCCTGGATGCTATATCCCAGTGATACAACTCAGAATATAATTTAATCAAATGTTTCCTTTAAATCGTAAGGGGAAACCCTCACTAGTTTAAGTCCTCATCTTAAAGTAAGTCAGTCCCATCCGATATCTGTGGCAGTTTTATGCTAAAATCTCTGCCAAAAAGAGAGCCATGTTGGCTTACTGATTTTGCTATACCATCATTAAATTTAGCATTTGCAGAAAAAAGTATCTGCTTTATCATATATTTGATTGGTTTCCAGAACTACAACTAAAAAACTTACTCTAAAATATATAATGGCTTATTTTGGACCACATCTGGCAAGAAGCAAAAACCTCTTACTGCACCAAAGACAATGTTTCAGAAAAGAAGACATTAAATACCTGATAAAGAAGGTATGTAGATTCTACTAGTTCTGGCCTCAGTGGATAAAAAAGGACATCAGGTGCCTGTAACTGCCAGTTATACCTCTCTGGAAGAGCTCCATATCGTTTCCATATTGCATAATAAAATGCATGTAGGCAAATAGCATCTTCTACATCACCTATCAAAACCTGAGGAGAAGCAACAACAGTGAAGCTGCATACACAGAAGGCTGGCTCACTGATAAAACAGCAATAAACCAGTTTTCCTCATCTATGAAGCCCATACCATTTGCTAAAAGTCACAGAGCAGCTCTCCCTAGTTCAAGAACACTATTGTACATGTTCAGCTGACCACAAGTTTACTTTGTGAAACAGCACACTAAAGCTAGGTTACATAGTGAGAGCTAGCCTGGCCAACAAATCCTGGGATGACTAACAACATACAGAAGCAATGAAATCGCCCTTTGAATCAGTGGTACCAAGTAAATGATAATACACAAAGGGATCTCGAAAAAGCAGGTGGGCAGAACATCCTTCAGCCCAAGAACCAAATTTCATCTCAGATTGTTCAGGACCTGCATTCCAATGGTGGGTGGGGACGAAGGCAAAAGGGGGCCAGACCAAAATACCAAATATGCCAGCAAAGTTTAGTGTAAAGTAAAGGTTCACCTGGTGCCGACATTATATTCTTTTCAGCATCAGGCGAAACCCTTTTTATTTTCCTACTATTTTATTGTTTAATTGATTTTAACTAGCGTTTTAGCATATTAATTGTCAGATGCTTTGGTGTTTGTTTTATTCTACTCATTTTTTGTATGCCATCCCAAGACATCTGTAGTGAAGAGGTTAGAAAAGCTTTTAATAAATAAATAAAGCTTTTAATAAATAAATAAAATGCTAACCAGCAGTAGCGAAGCCTAAGGAGCAGCACTTCAATCTTTCAAAAAGGGCAAACAGCTGCACGGGAAGTGGGAAACTTCAAACAACTGATGGAGACAGGAAAGGAAGTAGGGCTGGGGAAAGGGCAAAGGCCATCTAGCAAATCCTAAAGCGTGGATTTGGCCTCCAGGACTCAGGTTCTGCACCCCTCCTCTAAAACACATCTTGACTCCTGTAAATATGGGCTAACACAGCTGATGCAACTCAGTCTAACATTCAAGTGGAACTATTCTGCATCTTTTTTGGGAACAGAAGCCTGTGAAGGATTTCACTGGATGGGTCAATTGCTAAGCAGGTCCAACTCATTCCCTCCTTAAACCACAACAGGCATTTCAAGAGCTGAGCAGCCTAACAACTTAATGCTCTAGAAGCAGACAGAAATGTGTTTTTGCCCCAAATTAGGATGATTCTAAGGGCTGGTATGAATTGTCTGTCTATAAATGGTATGCACATACATGTACGTAGTGAAATTAATGTGTAACTAGTACAACACTGGCATGAATGTGCAGGACATTTATTTCCAGATACTGGTTTTGCCAAAGCCTCTTTTATTTTGGGAACAGAACTACTAATGCAATAAGTATATTCTCTCCACCACGCTGCAAATACCTGAAGACCAGGAAAAAATGCTTGAAGAGAATCGATCCAGGTATTCATCAACTGCCCACTAAACATATTAACATTAACATAGAGAGGTGGGTCCCCTTCACCTTCATTGCAGGCTTCCCTCCTGAAGAGAACAATAAGCAAGGTTTGATTCAGGCCCATTTGTTACATGTATTCTTAATTTAGGTTGGAACAGATATCTGTATCTATACAACTATTTTTGATTAAATGTATAAATCACACTTTCTGCCTCTCAAGATGGTGTTCAAAAACAATGTGAATAGAAATCATAATAATTCTCATTATGAGTGCTTATGCATAGCATCCATAAACAGACACACTAGTAACTAAACATACCTTCCATCTTGCATCATAATGACTTCATAATGTCAAGTCCTGAATACCACAGTGGTTAACGGCAAGCATTACATTAACAAGCCCACATGTACCATGCACAATATATGCTAATAGGTTCAAAAACATAAGAAGAGCGCTGATGGATCAAAACAAGGAGTCCTTCTAGCCCATCGTTCTGTTAAGACAGTGGAAATCAGCTGCTCACAGAAAACCTAACAGCAAGTACTGAGTGCAACAGCACTCTCTTATGTAACTTTGGACCTTCTAATAACAGTCATTCACAGAAGACACACAGCAAACGCTTGGAATAATTAGTATTGTTATTAATTTATAGAGCACTGTTGCGCACAGCATTTTATGGAATACAAGACAACAGGTTCCATTAAGCCACGTACCCTCGCCGTAAGTAGTTCTGAATACTCCTATATGCATCGTTGAACATCTCTAAATCTTCTTTTTCTCCAAAAAGGATGTAAGATTTCAAAAGATATTCATAGAAAGAGTCTAATCCTGCTCCCAAGCCACTCTGCTTTCCAACCCAGTGACCAGTTTGAATATTCACAACATTGCCTATGAAGTAAAAATGCCAAGGAATAAAGATAAGCCAAGCGTAGCTACATACTGTTTTCATTTAGAACGTCTTCAACCAATAATGCTCCAGGAAGCATAAGGCTGCCAGATCACACAACATAACTACAATAAAACTAATTAAAATGCATGTGTTTACCAGAACTCACAAAAGATACAATCATAAACATTGTGCATAAAACCTATTGCAACATCCTGGGTGCAAAACAGGAAAATTTCAAGGTTTGATTTATAACCCACGTTTATCTTACAACAAGCTCAAAACAGCTTTTATCATTCTCCTCCTGCTCTCAACCTTATCCCTACAACAGCAACTTTGTGAAGTAGGTTGGACTGAGTGTCTGTAACTGGCCCAGTCACATAGTTGGTTCCATGGCTGAATGGGGACTTAATCTGGACTCCTGCACAATGTCTTCCAAAAGTAGTAGGAGTTTTTTGTGTTTTTTTTAAAGTGGCGTGGGCAAAGGCAAGCCTCCACAGACATTCTCCCAAGGGAACAACTCATGAAAGCAATTCTGAACAGTACTTTCACCAGAACATTTCAAATATAGATCAGGGTATGTATGGAAATAATGTCTCTTAAGGTAAATAGAGCACAAACTAGACAGGGCTGCCTTCTGCAATCTGGCATCCTCCACACGTTTTGTATGTCAACTTCTATCAGCTCCAGCTAGCATGGCCAATTGTGAGGAAACCTGGGAGCTGTAGTCCAAAAACATCTGGAGGGTACCAGTTTGGAAAAAGCTAGTATAGGGCTATAAAAAGCAGAGCATTGGTGGAAAGCACAGCTCATGGAAAACTGATTGGCTGATTTTACTTATTATTCTCATTATAATGCACATAGCTGCTCCTTGCACTAGGTCAGGGGTCGGCAACCTGCGGCTCCGGAGCCGCACGTGGCTCTTGAATCCCTCTGCTGCGGCTCCATAGCTCAAAACACGCGCTGGCACAGCCACCAATCTGTGACCGAGGCTGGTTAAGTAAATTGCAACATTCCTCTGCTATTGTGCAGGAAAAGAGTGGAACAAGCTTCCTACAGGCTCTCATGTTACTCAAACCCTGCTGAAAAGATTCTCTTTGTCCAAATGTAATCTCTCGGGCACAGCCAATCTGGGACCCGCATGATTTACTGAGCTTCCCCTCCACCCCCCACCCCATACGCCAACCATGGATAAACTGAAGAAAAGTTTCTGAAGAAAACAGAACGTTTAATGGTACATGGATAGATTCATTTGCTTTTACTGCTGACTAACTTATGTTTAATGCATGCAGCCCTTTAGCACTGACTTTGACTTTGCAGAAAGCTGTTCTGCTATTCAAAATATATGAAAGGAGTCCTAGTAGATTATAATGTAAGATTAAAAATAACAGTTTTTAGTGAATGAACAAGAGCTGCAGCTAAATCTTAATGAAGACATAGATCTACTTCCTTGCTTTTTTTTAGGAGTTCAAAATGTTTTTGTTGCATGCAGAAATAAAATTTTGTTTTCTCTGTAGCAGTTCATTGATTTCATAAATGCAACACACTCTAGTTTTTTAATACATAGCATAAAGGTAAAAATGATATATGTAGTGTTATCTTCATTTTAGATGTCAAAAGGGTTTTGCGTCTCCTGGTGTTTTCTTTTCTGTGGGAAACGGGTCCAAATGGCTCTTTGAGTGTTAAAGGTTGCCGACCCCTGCACTAGGTAAAGAGGTGCAGAGCATGTTACATGAACAGAACACTTCCTACAGAGCATGTTACATGAACACTTCCTACAGAGCATGTTACAGTTTCTGCAAGAATTCTAGAGAACTTTAATGATAATTGTCCCAATCATCATTTGCTAAATAAGGTCCATTTCACATGCTGTGCAGTATACATATTTATCATATCTACATGCACCAAGCAGCACAGGCAGTTTCAGTGCCTTAATGCCCATTTCTATTACGCAGTATGATTCAGGAGATGCACATAGAAAACAATCTGTAAACCAGCTATCAAGGCTGTTTCACATACCTATAGATATCAGAAAAACCTGCAATGGGCTCAAATGCATTTAGATTTCTATGAATCTGACCTGAGGATTCCTTAGGAGACTGGGTTCTTCTAAGTCTGATAAATGTGAGAATCATTAAAAACAAAACTTTTGGTGGGGAGATAAGGGCAGGTGCATATTTACAAACACAAACTGAATTATTGTGCATCCCACACCCCAAATCCAAGTTTGTTAACATATAACAGAAGATGTTATATGTTATAATAGAAGATGACCGATAATCTGCAAAACAAAGACAGAACAGATATTTAAAAATCCATAGATCCCTAAACATATCACACCTGTGTACTGATTGTTTACTGGCACAACCCACTCTTCCTGCCATCTTACACACAGCCCTTCAGAATCAGACACTGTTACATATATTTGTTCTGAATTGAGTAAGACAAGCATAAAAAATAAGCACCTAATAACCCAGTGTCATTGCTTCGTAAACTCCAGAGAGCTTTCACAGCTCGGCGGGCAACCCATTCAAAAGTTGAATCTCCAAGAAGCCGGCTAAGTATTCCAAATTCCACCAATAAGGATCCAGCTCCTGCAGTGCAAGTCTCGTTGTTACTGCCGGAAGGAACTCCTGTTCTTAGATTTACCTGCAGAAATAGGATTTTTAATAGCACTTACATTCCTATTTTTTGTAGCCTTCAAAGGATTTCCCACTCAACCCCCTTCATAATCAAACACAGATGATAATAATAAGGTGACTTGTTGTGTTTCATTAGGGCTCTGTCATGAAGTTGCATCATATTCCATGGGGAATCTGTCTTAAAGGGTATCTAGATTAATATTAGGTGTGCAAATATCCAGCCATCAGAAAATCAGACCAAACAATGCAAAATCCCCATCTTACAGCAGTCCCACTAATCTAGCCATGCTGAGGAAACCAGTTTAATGGATACAGTTAATGCACTATCTCTACTGAAAGGCTGCATCTCTGTATATTCAAGCAAGAGCAGTGACACATTCAGCTGGATTACTGAGAGGAAGCAGGGCTATAAATATGGACATCTCACATCAGGCATTATGGCTTCCATAGGGCTACTTTACAGACAAGATTGTTCAAAAGTGCATTTTTATACCAAAACGATTAATATGTATGACGCAGCTAAGGGAAGACATTACAATGCCAAAAAAAGCTCAAAAGTAGCTTGTCTGAAAATTGATCTTTGTGATATACATACCCGAGGATAAGGAATTCCAGTTTTGGTGTTTTCAAAAGCAGGCAGCAGCCTCACTGCCAGGTCATGAGCCATATGTAAGAGCTCATCATCATAGCCCTTAATGGTCATATCACCAAAAGGCTGCCTTGCATCTGTAATTATTATGTGAGCTGAAAGTAAACTTCCCAAAACCCTACAAGGAAAGAAATCATTAATTGCTTTAAGGGAGCCACAGCCTTGAACTTACTAGAGCTGAGCAGCACCATCATGGATAGGACATTTTGGAGGGCATTCATTCACAGATTCGCCGTATGTTAGAGACAACTTGGCAGCGCATAGACAATTGTTTTAAACAAGACAATGCAAAATGTGATACATTGTTTATAAGTTATAGTATCATAAATCTCAGTTACATTCCAGTTTAGGAACATAATATTTATATCATTTAATGGGAAGGCCATAACATAAGCAGAGGAACATCTTAACCTTATGGAGGTATTTCTCAGAACAGTTTTGTTGCCAACTTAAAGCCCAAGAATGTTGCTGGTTCAATTACTTGCCAAGTTTCCTACAAAAACCATGTTTTGCCAGCAGTGGTTGTCCAGCTGCAGTTATTTCTGGAAAAAATAGTTTAGCCATATGAAGACAACTCAGGGGTTACAGCTGGTAAAAGTATATGGCTATATGACCTTTGACTTTTAGAGCCAGACCTGCACATGCTGGAAAAAATGAATTGCAGTCTATTTGCTTCTGGGCTAAATTCAAAGTCTGTGCACTTACCTGAAAAGCCCTAAATGGCTTGAGTCCCAAATACCTAGATCTCCAAATACCATCCTGCCTCTCCTTTAAGAACTTCTGCCAAGGCTTTTCCCATGTGCCTCTTTTACTGGAAGTACGTTTAGTACCAAGAGAAAGCTATCTCAGCAGGGTCACCAAAATTATTGAAGACCTTTCCTAAAGAGGTTCACCTGATGCCCAAATTGCAATCTTTTCAATTTATTTCAATTTATTCAACTTTTCAATGTATTCAGCTTTATTCAACTGGGCATTTTAATTTGTTATAAGCTTTGTTAAGAATATTGTCTGCTGTTTTATTGTTCTGCCATACCCTTGACTGTATAGCAACCTAAAACATATAAATAAATACAATCGCACCAATACTCTAAGACTGGGTTCACACAACAAGGCAAAACTTGTGAGTAAATAACAACATTGCACTGTCATGTTGTACAAACCTATTGCTTTCCACAGGGCAAAAAGCCACCCTGGCAAGCCATGCCTTGCTCTAGGAGTTATTGATCCTACTACGAGTTGTCACATCATCCACAGTTGGGTGATCCAACCCATCATGAGTCCAAGGAAATGGCAGGTGAGACACTCAGCAAGAACAGCAAAAGAAACCTCTTGTCAAGCTTACCCAGACCAGCAACAGCAGTCCCAGCAATGCCCAAGCAGCACTTTGGCTCTGCCCTACACTCTGCTTCTGGCCCCTTTCTGGTTGCTATCACACTTTTTTTTCCTTTTTGCATTATCATCATGAAATTTAGTTTCTTCAAACTGCCAACATGTTTGCTTACAATACTATCATCCAATTTTAGCAGCAACCTACCTAATTGTGGCTTCGAAGACCTGAACAGTTGAATCTGTGTCAAATGATACTGTGTCGATCACCAACTTCACTGCTTTCCGGAATTCTGAAGAATTTCCCATTACCTTTAACACAGAAAATACATACCAGATAAAAAATAGCAGTTATTGCCCTAAACTTATATTAAACTGTAGATCACATCATAAATATCAGCAATTAATAAATGTTAGAATTTTTGTCACCCTTTCCCAAAGTCCAGTGATATTTTAGGCCCCGAGTAAATACTATTGTATAATCCTGTTTTTTAAAGTATTTTTGAATTGCAATGCCAAAGTCAAGAACTACAACTTAAGTGGAACCGTTTATGCATAGTAAGATACAAATGCAACAAAAGTATGCCCTATATATCCTTATAAAGCATAAAGAAACAACTTTCAGGGTTAAGAACACAATCCGATAGGTTGCACTTGAGGGCTCCAAGCTCAGAATCCTCAACTTATCCTATGTCCCATCAGCAAAAGCTAGATGGGAGAGAGGACAGAAAATACAAAAAGGAGCAAGATTACCCTCTGAGTCTATGAGGGAGGGGACTGAAGAGGCCATAAAATGCTGCATTTTGCAGCTTCCTATCTCCCCTCCCTGCCTACCAGCAAGTCGCTTTTATCCCTCTCCAACTTCTCTTCACAGAAGAGTTCCATGGAGGCCAAGAAGCACGGGTGGGAAAAGAAGATCCAATCATATTTCTTCCTCCATATTTATAACTTTGTCTATGGGCACAAAGGATTTAGTCCAGTTACTAGCACCTCGACACTGTCCAGGGTCCACAGGAATCCTCTCTCAGTGTGTAAAATGTAACTGACTAAAAACACCATTGTGAAGAGCTGTAGTTCTTTGTCTAACCTAGAAACAGATTCTGCTCTCTACCAATATGAATACAGAAGGGAAAAGAAACTTAAAATAATCAGCATGTAATGACATTGGGGCATTTCACTAGGAAGAAAATGGTACAGAAATGCACTGTAACACAGGACTTACATTCAAGTACAAGGGCAGACGAAAAAGAATGAGATAGAGAATCCAGTTTTCTTGCTAGAATAAACTTACTTTTTAAAAAAGAGATTTACCTAATAATAAGAAAATTACCCTGACAGTAAGATATTCAATTAAAACTGTTTGTGGTTGTTACTTGCCACTAAGCGCACCCCTTCCTAGAGTCTCTGGCATGCATAATAAAACCTCTCTCACTGCTCATTACTATTTCCAGTGCCAGGCATGAACTGAAACCAACTGTCTCTCACAGCAGACCTAAAACAAGCCACCCCTTCCAATTCTCTGCAATGTGCACAGAACTCAGGAAAAAAGGAAGTGTCTTTTGCTTCACACTCAAGTGCAGGCAAATGCCAGGCTGAGATTTATGGTATGAACCCCTTTACACAGAACACATGCTTGCTTACCAAGACAGGCTGGGGAAAATAGCAGACAAAACAGCCCTCATCCTTCCTGAGATTTTTCTTCCACTTAATAACTACCACTGACAATATTTAAGATTGGTTTTTTTGCTTCCAATAATTAAAAAACATTTTAACTCACTGCTAGGGTATCCAATGCATCAATCAGAGTAAGCGAGTAGTTTCCCAGGACATCATTGATATTCAGATTTGAACTGAAATAAATTTGGTTAGAAGTTAGTTCTACCAGATTTTTTTTGAAAAATTAATTCAAGTATTTAATCTATCAAACATGTAGCTCCTGTGTAGGTTTATCTGGAAGTAAGAGTCAAAGAACTCAATGGACTAGATTCCCAAGTAAATGCACAGAGGGCTACAGCCCTAGCTACCTAACTTAAAACCAGTATTCATATTCTCAGAGTAAGCTACTTTGTGGTTGCACTTTTAATTCAGTCTCTTACAATTTCTTTCATACTAAGGCAGAACTATTTGAATCTAGTAGGACTCGTTGTTTACTAAAGTTTTAAGGAAGTTCAGAGTATAAAAGAACCTAGAGTAGGCCAAGGAGTTTAACTCTAGACAAAGGGTACATCTGAAATTTTAAAGTGAAACAAGTATCTATGAGCAATATAAACCTGATGAACAAAGTGTAGGGAGGGATCTCAACTGGGAGATTCAAGTTCAAATCCTATTAACGATGGACAAACTGGAACATTTTCAGAAAATTGTTCATTCTGTATTGCCAATACTTCAATATCATTGTTAAGTCATTCTCACAGTGTCATTATGAGTAACAGAACACAGAAATTGTGCCACATTTTCCTGCTGGTTACTATTGATTATACAGCATACACTCTCACAATTAAATAAATACAGTTGGTCGTTGTTATACCAAAACACGCCACCCATCTCCCTTAAATATAATGCTGTAAATGTGTATTATTTTCCTCTTTTCAAAATATAGGAAACATGCATCTTCAAGCTGATTCACAAAGAAGGTATGCACACATGGAGTTAAAGCTTTATTTACTGTGTTTGCTACAGCAACCACTGACTGTTCAGCCTAAATAGCTTGTCTCCTTGAAAATGAGGACAACTCCAACAAAAACAGGAAACTGAGTACTAAAGAGGTAGTTCGCCCTCACGGACACACATGCTTTCCACTGAAACCTTAGATTCTTAGCACTCCTGTTAGTCTGGCTCACACTACCTAGCACAATTAATTTTCTAAAAATAATTTGCAACCTTCATACAATTGCTCGTATTTGACATTTTGATACAAACATATGTGTGCCCGTTAAATCACAAAAGCCTGAAAGAAAGTGGTGTGCAAAAACACAAAAGATACTTTCCAGTAAAGTTGCTTTTCCAAAGAAGCACTGCTGTGAACATGATAAAGTCATTATACAGGATATTTTAACAAAAGCTCCTGTTTTTGATGCAACATCTGCTTCTAGCCATTTGGGCTTTTTTTTTTTTAAAGAACAGCAATGTTGAAGAGTTATGTGAACACCAATATTCACTAAGAAGCTACATTTAAATATTGCTCAGAACAATTTTTCAAAAACTGGAATGAAGTTACTAATGTTATTTTGAAATTATTGCCATGAATTTATTCAAGAGGTCTAGAGTCAATAGAGATGCTTAGTTACATGCTGAAAAAAGTGTGCAGTATCCTGAGCTACAGTTAGGGCATGATCCCATAACCTGCCAACACTGTCTTCAGGCCACAGGCTATGTCAGAGGCACCGCTGGAAATGGCTCCCAAGGTCAGAACCGGAAACCTTACCGTGGAGACACACCCTCCTCCCTCACAGCTGGCATGGTTCTTTCTGTGCCAGCTGGGCTCCAAAGCTGGAAGGCCATCTCCAGAACTGGGTGAGAGGGTAGAAGGGAGACACCTCCATCCCCCAGTGAATGCTGCTGGTGCTTCAGCTTTTGCAGGATGAGGGCAGTGCACAAGCAATCCTAGCCTCTGAACTCCTCTTGCCTTCTGCTGGATGCCCCTAATCCTGAGTTGGGAGGGTCACAGTCACACTGGATGATGCCCCTTAATTGTTCTATGAAAAAGGCTACTATGGAAATAACAGCCACCTAAGAGAACAAACGGATTTGGTTTTGGACCATTCAAGAGCAGTGCTCTTTGGACCCAAAAATCTATGAAAAATGAGCAGTCAGGCAGAATGCAGGGATATCAGTCTGCTATTTATACAATTGTTAAAATTTATTTTTTCACTGCTCTGACAAGAACCACTTTCCAAGATAAAATCAAATTTCCTTACTGACAAATTGACAATTCTAAAATCTTAAGGCCCAGTATGGGTAAAGTCCACACAGCTTTATATCACTTTATTTGAAATAAAGCAGGCCAATTTATCACACACCTGAAGAGGGAAGAATAAAAAACCTTGCACTTTGCTACCAAAATTCAGTAGCTAACTGCTTAGAATTAATAAATTAAACATGCAATCCATGGGATGTATCTTGCCCACCCTTAAATTAAGGACCAAGTTCCTCCTCTGGTACAAACCTATTATTTTCAGTGAGATAATTTTGAAAATTTCCTTCATATGCATTTATAGATTTGGCTACCAGAAATATATCTAATAAAACTGTTAACAGTAGTATTTTCACTATTTTTTTACTAGCAATAGTAGTAAAAAAATTTACTATTTTTATTTTACACACAGCACTATAGCTGAAGATAACCAGAATTAAAGTTCTAAGTAACTTTTAGCATAACACTAATTAAGGTCTAATTCCAGAAGTGAAGTTCATGTTGATTCTTTCTCTCCTTCTATAACAATCACTATCAACACAGGTGAATGAAAGGAAGATTATATTTTTAAAATATATCTCACTTGTTAGAAAAAAACAACACAAAAGGGGTGATATCCATTATTTTCCATTTTAAAAAATTTAGACAAAACCACCCCCACCAAATGCTCTTTCTCAAACAGTAGCAATGGAATAAGGGGCAGGGATCCTATTACAGATAGGTAACTGGTTAGAAAATAGGAGGTACAGTGTAGGAAAGGAAGGCCAGTTTTCACCAGGGAAAAACAAACAGCTGGGTCACCCAAGGGTCTATATTAGATTAATCTGACCACAATACAGTTGTTCTATCTCAGTTAGGATGAAACAGCCATGTTTGCTGATTACAGCAAATTATTTAGAGAAATTCAAACAACAAAAGGATTGTGCAGAGATCCAAACTAATTTCTTAAACCAGGAAAATGGGTATTAAAAATTGCAAATGTAGATCAAATTCAGGAAGCATAAAATGATATAGGAACAGACAGATCTATACACTGATGGGATCCCAGCTGATGACTGATTAGTAGAGGGCTCTTTAGAGTTGTGGCTGATACATTGATACTTCAATGAAAGTGCTGATCCAGTATGTGGCTGCCGTGAAAAAAGCAAATTCTAAGCTGTGAATATTTATGAATGGGACTGAAAGTAAAACTGCCAATATATAAGCATCCTCATTCAAACGTATTCCTTATAGTTGGAATATAGAGTTCATATCACCTTAGAAAGGATATTGTAAAGCTGGGAAAAGTGCAGAAGTCGTCAGTCAAAATAATCATGAGGACTGTGGCCATTCCTCAACAAGGGAAGGTTGTTTATGAGAATTGATGGGTTTTCTTTTAAGGCTAATTGAAATGGGGAGATATGGCAGGTGTATACAATTCTGTATGGTATATAATAAGTGAAAAGAAATACTTCTTCCTCCCTTATGTTATTAAAGCTTGTGTCATCTATTGAATAATGGCAAGTTCAGGTGACAGATAAAAGAAGTAGTTCTTCACACAAGTGACAGTTAAAACTATGGAATTTACTGCTGCAGGATGTAGAACTGGTCACCATCTTGATGGCATTAAGAGAGGATTAGACATATTCATGAAGAATACAGGCTTCAATGGCTACTAATACCTCTTCATACCAGTTAGTGGAAACAGCACTGGAAAATGGCCATTACCCCCTGTCCAATTTTCAAACTTTCTACGTGCATCTGGTTAGCCACTGTGGCAAACATGATGCTGAACTAAGTAGGACTGCTCTGATCTACCAAGGCATTGTTTTTTAGGCAAATGTGAGCTAAAAGTTTTTATGCTCATACTTTCAGGAATGTTCACTTCTAACTCAACTTGCAGGAAAGTTATCCCCATAGATTTTCTGGTAGATAATATGTGCTGTGCTAAGCTCACATCAGCAGGCCACTAATGCACATATGTTAACCTGTAGGTGCTAAGCTATAGAGAGAAACATCACACAAAGCATACAAGTTCTAACTAGATAAAATTGCAAGAGGCAGAGGTGCGTGGAGAACTTAGAGGCAGCTCCCAAAAAAGCAATCAAAGCCTTAGCAGTAAGATTAGCCTTTACGTCCAAGAACCATTCACTCCAGGGATAACTGCAGAGCCTCCTGGGAGAATGAAGCAATACTTATGCAATTTGCAAAATACTCAAGAATTTTTACAACTACAAACATCATGCAAGATGGCATCACTAAGTAGAACACATCTGCTCTGAGCACTTCCGAACTGTGAAATGTAACAGAGAAAAAGAGGTAAAGATGCAACAGATTCCAGGAAACCAATGGCTGTCACACTTGAAGAAACACTCTTTGTACTTTGGAAGGAAGCTGACACAGGAAATAATTTTATTGCTGTACTGCATAACTATCCACTATTTACAACCAGTTTCATCATTCCTGTGTTTACTGCCCAGTACTTCACATCATAAAGGTTCCTACTTTTATCTAATTTATCCTACTCCTCTTTAACATCCAGGAACCTTCCCACTCAGTTGCCATTACCTTTTCCACATGCACTTGCAGTTACTGTTAAAGACACTATTTCCAGATTCTATGGATGCATATGGCAATGTCCATATGGTTATGATCCATTCCTACAGTGGAGGTGCCTAATAGGTTTTTTTTTTAATCTATTAAAAGCATGACAATGGTTTGAAAGTGGGAGTGCCTGTCAGTGACTGCTTTCTGAATAGGGAGGGGGAATTCTTTTCGGCTCTAACTGTACCCCTCGTATCATCCATTCACTAGGCTGATCAGGCCTGCCTTGCACTCCTATGGAAAGTTCGAATCCATTCCACTCCCCACTGGAAGGGCTACCCTTAAAACTTCCATCCCCAAATCTTTAAACCCCATGTCTCTCCTTCTCCACACAACGGCCTCCACCCATTCCCTTCTGCCCCTCACCTCTTGAGGAATTCACCTTAGCCTCATCCCCCACCCCCGGCCTGCAAGAGGAGGAACCACACAGCCCAACCCAAGCTGCCACAGCACCACCAAGCGACATCCAGCGGGACGGGTCGGGACACCGACCCGAAAGAGCCAGCAAGCCGCTACAAGCAAGGCCCCCACCCGTATCGACAGCGGCCATCTCAAGGCGTCACCCCACCCCGCTCGCTCGCTCGACTACTCACGGGTCTGCTCGGTCTGGCCCCCGCCCGCGACACTCGATGGGGTTCAGCTCGTCCTGAGGGAAAGCGTGCGCCATGTAGTTGTCGTAGCCAAACACGAACATGCCGCGGGCGGCGTCGCGGAGCTGCGTGCGGAGCTGAGCGGGGAAGGCCCGGCTGTAGCGCTGCTCGTACTCGTCGTCCACAGCTTCGCCGCCGTCGCCGTCGCCGCCCGCGAGGGCCCTGCCAGCAGAAGCGCCATCGCCGCCACTGATGTAGCCGCTACTGCCTCCCCAGGCTCTGCCCAGGAAGGAGGCCCAGTGAGGGGCCACCAAACCGGATCTGAGGCAGCGCGCGTTCGAGGCGTCCCCTTCCTTGGCCGGGCTGCAGGAGAAGGTCCGCAGGCGCTGCTGGTAGAAACCCAGGCTGGGGCCCGCCAGCCACAGCAGCGCCTGCCCGGCTAGCCTCAGAGCCAGCAGCGCCAACACCAGCGACCGCCATTGCATAGTCGGAGGAGTCGCAGCCGCCGCAGCCGCCGCGCGCCCCTTCCACGCGCATACTTCAGGCGGAACCTCCGCTCGGAACGTTCCGCGACTGCTGGAGGGAGGGAGGGAGGGGGCCCAAAGTGACACCCTCGGCCCCGCCCCGCCCCCTAGTCCCGCCCTTTTCCCGGTCCAAACAATGTCGCGTCTCCTTTAAGAGTGAAGGACATCCAGGCGGGAGGCGGGGAACAGAGATATTATGATCCTCGGGGCGAAACGCGCCGCCGTAGATTCCCCTTTGGTGTCGTCATCACCCGGCTGCCGACGCCTCAATCCTCCACAGGGCTCGGTCAGAGGAGCGGTCGGCTGAGGATGACGTGAGCCGGCAGACAGGAAGAGGCAGGCGCTGAGCGAGGGGTGACGTGGCGCGCGGCGATTTTTCGCCCCGGCGCAGCCAATCGGGGGACGGCGCTGGCTTTGGGCGCAGGTGGCGCGTGTTGTTCAGAGGCAGCAGGCTTTCCCGCGTTGAGGGCGGTAGGAGGAGTGCTTGGAGTTCAGTTCAGATAGCGAGCGACTGAGAGCATAAGCGCCGTTGAGAGGACAGGGGGCAAAACAGCCCTCTTCCGACGAGCCTGTTCTCTCTCGCTCTCTCTCTCTCCCCGACCTGCTTGTTCGCAAGAGGCATAACTGTGCCAGCCAAATAAACCGCTCTCTGACGTGTCATTTGTTAGGAAGGCATCTCATTGTGTTATAACTGGTTGATTTATTTACAGTAATTAAGTCTTCGAAACGAATTGTGGTGAGGCGCTGTCAAAGTCGTCTCCAACTTACGGTGATCCTATGAATGCGTGACCCGTTGTAAAGGCAAGGCTACAGCCTCGTTTATGGAATTGATCCATCATAGTTGATCTGCCACTTCTGCTTTCGACTTTCCGTAGTCTGACGAGGCAATTCTAATGCATGTTTAGGCAAAACAAAGACCTATGAACTCCCAGCCATCCAGGAGTTGTAGTGCTTTTTCTGTCTAAACACGCAAAGGATGGCACTCTAAATTGCAATTTTGCATATGTAAATCACAGAGTATATTTCCATAAACCGTATAACCAGTGATGTTTTTAAATGACTGACTCACAGTCCCTCTTCTTCCACCATAACCTACAAGCAGAGTTGCTATTGACTTTAGGCGTGAGCTCACGGTAGGGGAGGAGGTGGATAACACTAAACAGTCTATTCTGTTCAGTCCATAGAAGTCCATGTTCCCTACTCCAAAGACCATGCAAATGATGATCGAAGTAGTAAGGCCCATATAAGCCATTATGGCAGTGCCTGCACACACCAGAAATGTGCTACATATTACAACTTATTTTAAACATGTTCTGGTTGGCAGTTGGGCAGCTGGGCATGTGCATGATTACAGGTACTCATTCTTTAGTTAAAACATAATGCACTTTTCTACAAGCATTTCCAGGTAGCTGTGTTTCGCATCAGGGCAGCCAAAACAAATAGTTTTATTCTTGTAGTCATTACGACACTATTCTCATGTAATAACATAATCCTATGCAACTTTTAAGGCAGAAATGCTGTTGGGAACACTGTAGGACTTTTTTCTTTCTTTCTAAAGTTACATATGACTGTGCCTTAAGTGAATTTAAAACGAAACTGATTGTGCTTGGTGTTAAAGTCTTGTTTTGCTTTTGCCTATCCAGGAATCTGGTTGCCCACTTTGCCAACACAATGTCAAAGACAGGCCTTTGGTTTGATCCAGCAGGACATTTTTTATGATAGGAACTGAGTAATAAATATGCATTTCACATATGTTTAGTACACAGATACACAGACAAGCTGATGTCTGTACTAAAGTTTCTGTGGTAAATATTGGGTCATTATTCAGCTATTGAGTTCAGCCATAACAAGCAACACCCATAAGAAAACTAAGAGATGTTTTACTTAACCTGTTTTGCCTTAATGTCTATGAAATCAGGGCCTTTGACAAGGTGCTACATGATATCCTGATTGAGAAACTGATGAGCTTTGGAATAGATAGATGCTCTGTCTGATGGATTAGGGCATGGTTGATGGACTGCAAGCAGAGGGTGACTATCACTGGGGAATCATCAAGATGGCAACTGGTGATGAGCGGAGTCCCCTAAGGCTCAGTTCTGAGACCGATTCTGTTCAACCTCTTTATCAATTACCTGGAAGAAGGGGTAACCAGTATGTTGACCAAATTCGCAGATACCAAAGTGGGGGCAGTGGCCACAACTAGGAAGCAGGTACTCCAGATCTAAAAGGATCTGGACTTACTGTGGAAGTGGGTGGGGGACAACAGGACAACAATGTAGATAAGTGCAAGGTCTTGAACTTGGGAGAGCAGCACTTGTGAAAGGGATCTTGGGATACTTGTCAATAGCAGGTTAAACATGAGCCAGCAGTGTGAGGCAGCAGTTAAGAGGGCGAACGCCACCCTTGCATACATAGGCAGAGGCATGGCTTCCAGATCAAGAGAGGTATTATAAGAGGCTCTGTAAGACTTGAGTGTGCCCACAACTGGAGTAATGAGTCCAATTCTGGGCTCCACATTCTGAGAGATGGCTAGGATAGCATCAGTTCAGCACAGGGTCACAAAGATGGTAACTGGATAGGGGGCAGGGTAAAATTACATGAGACTGAGGTAGCTGGGGCTTTTCAACCTGGAGGTGACTCAAGAGGGGGATTTTATCGCAACATATAGGTATGTGAAGGGGTGTCACATGTTAGAGGGTCATGACCTGTTCTCCCCTGTGGTGGAAGAAAGCACATGGGGTCCAATGGGACAAAGCTCAAGGAAACAGGAATCAGGTTGGATGTCAGGAACCCCTAGGACAGGGGTCCTCAAACTCTTTCAACAGGGGGCCAGTTGAAAGGTGCTCGTGATGTGTGGGGGGCGTGGGCCAGGCCAGGGCCAGGGGGTGCACAGGCGCAGTGAGGCAGGGGCAGGCACACGCGGAGATCATTTTCTCCAAGCGAGTCCAAAATTTCTCCACACGAGCAAGCCAACGCCTCACCACATGTGCATGCATGCATACATGGCGAGTCCAAAACCTCTATGGTGGGCCGGATAAATGGGCATGGTGGGCCAGATCCGGCCTGCGGGCCGTAGTTTGAGGACCCATGCCCTAGGATATGGAATGTGCTTCCAAGGGAGGTGGTGGGCCCCATCAGTGAGGGTGTTTAAGGAAAGATTGGACAACCACATGTTGGGTATTGCATGAGCAGGGCTGGCTGGAGCCAGTGGTCAGAATGGATGGCCTGGAAGACCCCTTCTGACTCAGTATGTTTCTAAATTGCAATATTCCTAAATATCAAATGGGGAGGAAACTGATATGGAACTGTTCTGGTAAGCCTAAGCTGTACACAAGTTTGAGATATAGTGACCCTTTGTATTTGATTTAGGCTGACTATACTGATCAATACAGGTGGAAATTTAGAGGAGTGGGAAACCCTTCCGTTACAAAATGCAGAAACCATATGCCAGCCATAGGATGATCCTAGAAGCAAGCACGGCCAACCCTTTTATTCCCACCAGAGAAGGGCTTTTCTATTAGATACTACAGAATACAATTATTTACTATATAAACTAACAATATCTTATGCATATACAAGTAGCAAGTCCTACTGAATTTAGTAGAATTTGCTTTCAGGTAAATGTGCAGTGGATTGCATTCCAAGCGATCTAGCTGGATAATACTTCATTCGCTTGGGAATAAACCCCCACTGAATTCAGAATTTACTCTGGACAAGACATGTGATTATATTATACATTGTTTTCTATGCACTAAGTCTTCACTTGATACTTCTATGATCTTTGCCTAGTTGCACAAGTAGGTTTATACTCTCAAATTTCAGTCACACATGAGACCTTGATGAGTCAAGTTACAGTATGTCAATATGACCCTGAAAACTCAAGTTTATTGGATAAAGCTAAACAGCAGTAAACCAACAAAATGCAATCCACCTAAATAAAAAAAAATCACGTATTTACAAAGTTTGATAAATGTATAAGTTGTTCACATGCCGAGACTAATGCACAGGTTAAAAAGTTGGTAGTGGTTTTTGGATGTCAAAATGCTGAAAGCGGTGAAGTATACACACACGCAAAAAAATCAAACACACTGAGTTCAGCAATAGGCCAGTTATCTAAACAGTAATTTGGTTCCTACAGGAAAGGGCAACACATTCTAGTTCAGCTTCCTTGTTTTTAGGCACAGGTAGAGTTGCTCTAGTCAAGTGTAGCAGTCCATAGTGAACTACAACTACAGTAGCAAATTAACTGTCGCTACAGCATCAATAATACACTTGTAAGCATACCGAAGTTAAAACTGCAAGCTCAATTTGTAAATGGAGGCAATACTTGTATCTGTGCAACAGTGCAGTAATTGCTATGGGAACGGTAAGGCCATGGCAGTGCTTGTTGTCCGAGGGCAGATTTGTGTTGGTTACCTTGGTCCAATCAGTACCTATGGCATAGCTGCAGGAACTCTGTACAAGTTCAGACCTTGCACCTGTCATACCTTAAAACACTCAACTAGGCTAGAGTTGCAGCCACTGCATGATCCTATTTTACTTCACCCATACAAGTTGCCAAAACTGCCAGTCTTTTACAAACATATGTTCCTGTAAAGGCATGGTCTGTGGCCTTTTAGCAAAAGAACCCTTTGATGTTAACTAGGAGTGCCTGTAAAAGGCTGGAAGAGAGGTGCCACGGATGCAGGGTAGTAGAGGATGTTAGCAGAGCCTGATCCAGTTTTGAGATGCTTATTTTTAATAAACTGTTTTGGTTTGATTTTTTTTACTGGATCAGGCACATATGTTTGTGTGCATTTATGTGTACGTGCCCCTAAATGTACCAAATGTGTCAAACAAGGACTCTGAAAGTGTCGTATCTAAGTACATGCAAGTGCAAAAACTGAGCAACACAGAGAGGGGCAACACAAGCAGGTGTAACCATATATTTGTATGCATACAGTAGGCTACAGTAACATTACTGTATGAATGAAATCAGCCTTAACAAGTCTGTCCCTTTAAATATTGACACAGCAAAGAAGGTAAAGCTACAGAAGTAGTGTTACAGGTTTTTATAGTTCATACACCTCTATGCTGTAGAAGCTAACCAAGAACAGGATCTGTTCACTGATTCTCTTGTGCTTCAAAACACCATTTAACATTTCATAGCCTGTGAACTTTACACATGATTACACACTGAGAAAGCAGGTAAACCTAGAGTTGTCACAGTAGCCTAGGTATTTCCTAGCAGCAAGTGCAACTGTGAACAAGTATTCCATTAACAGAAGGACAAGCCAGACAGTGAGAGATTCTTTTGTGCTGTCAGTGTGACACAAAGTGTCATGCAGCTGTACAGACTTTGCAAAGCAATTCAAGGAGCAAACTGATTGTTAGTCTAGACTGAGGTGCTTAAGTTTTACCTGCTTGTATGTACAAACTCTTGAAAGCTTTAGTTTGAAGTATTCTATGCCTTATCCCACTTAAGAATCTTAACATATATAAAGTTATTAGCAATGCCTGCATGGATTAAAAAAAAGTCGACAATTTGACATGACTAATTCATTGGGATGAATGAAACTTGAGAACTTAAGATAATTTAGGGACTTAATATCTAGTGCCTGGTACTTTCCATTGCAAACCATTTACAAACACATCACATGCATCTGAGAGAAAAGTTAGTACCCCCTTTAGACAGTGTTTGAAAAGCTTTTTAGGTACAATAAGTGGTGCTAGAATCCTCATGCTGCCCTGTGTCAGCATCTTCAGCAAGCCACTAAATACAAGGTTTAAATAAGTTTGCTGAAAATCAAATATAAAACCTGGCTCAGGAAGACCAGAGCAGAAACACACTTTGATTAAATGATAGCTTTTGGGAAGGGGGCACCCACTGCCACAGTTTAGGTGAACTTAATAAAAACATTTGCACAACTCATGATAACTCTTAGCTGATTCTTTGACAAAAGTAAGAATGTAAGTCATTCAGCAGTGCACATGGAGGCATAAACTGTGGAAAAAAAGGCAATTCCTTGGACAGAGGAAGTCTATCCTGGATAACATTTTATCATGGAGGGAGTAGACAATTGAGATTATGGCCAACTGAGGGTTTATCTGTAAGATTTCAGCTTCTTCTAGACTTTGAATGCTGAATAAGCCACTGAAGTGTGATATCTAGGAAAAAGAAAAACATTGGTCATTTGCCTTCAACATACTCTATTCTTGCAGCTGAGCATCCAATGTAAAAGTGAGAGATAAGCATATGTATACACATAGTTGTCATCTTAACAACTATACTGCCAGGAGTTTCTTTTTCCAGATTCTGGAAATACTTCAGAGGAAAATAGCAGACAGGTAGGCAGATGTTCTTGATGGCTGAACCAGTAAAGCCTCAGAAGTTTGCCAAGTCCCAAGCATTTCAGCAGATATTCTTTGGATAGGTTTCAAACAGTTTTAGCTCAGTCAGTATTTGCTTCTGAACTATTACTCCTTTGCACAAAATAAAAAAGGATATACTCAAAAGGGCAAGGTTGTGTTCTTAGACAATTAACAGCTCTAAGTGCCAATTCAAATGTTCTAGACTGGTGGGTATTACTCTGGGACAGTTAAGACCAAACAAACAAATTACACATTGTTGCTTTTATCTATCAAGTCCCTTCATATACATTAAAAAGCTTGTGTTCACACAGCAGGACTTTTACCATCTTACCATTTACAGAAGACTGTGCAGACAAGAAAAGCAGTTTCTTATAAGGGAAAATCTAAGCAGAATTATCAAGGTTGAGAAACAGTGAGCAGATGTGCTGGTGCCCACATATTCATCACTTTCAATCAATAATCTGGGAATCCCAGTGTTAGTTGCTTGGTTAATTCTAACCTATTTAAACCCTAAACAACACAGAGTTCCAGTTTTGGACATTACAATTAACCCAAGAATGAAAGCTGAGGTAATGCACAGATGGGAGGCAACACTGCTGGCTCCCACATGACAACACCAATTCCTGGATCGTTTAATGTAGGAATTGGGCATTGTGTGTGAATCAGGTTAATAAATTCTGTTTCATGTGGTGACTCTGCTGATGTTCAAGGGACTGGGAAGGCAGAAACCAAAATCATGTAAAATTTATTGAATATATTCCAACGGATCTGCTTTCTAGTTTTTGCTAAATATTGTTTTTGCTAAATAATACACAAAGTAACATGCAGCTACACTGGTCTTTTCTATGTATTGGACACTTCACACGAGTCCTTTACAACAAAGGCCTTAATAGGCAGCAGCCTATCTTAAGTCCCATGATTTACTATACCAAATGAAATGTAGAATCCTGTGAAGCCACAAGTTTCTCCATCTCTCCAAGTAAACACTGAATGAATTACTCCTACCAAGCTACTCTCAATGTTAAAGCTATGTCTCTTTGTTTTACTGTTCTTTGTCAATTCTTTTCCAATTTATTTCACATTTTAACTAAGCCATGTCTGGTTAGTATAATTGTTCTTTCTATATCGTTTTGCATTGACTTTGATTAAAATAATATCCAGGAAATTCCAAAGACCAGTTGACTGCTGTAGGCCAAAGGGAAAACAAGACACTGGCCAAACACAGCCAGTTAAGCTGCTACATGGACAGGCATCTCACTCAAAGAGATTAATCTTGTTTATGGGTTTCCATCGAATGTCTTCCAAACAGATTTCTTCTGCAATGGGACAAACTCTTCCTCCCTTCCACATTGACCCTCCCCCATCCTGTGAAGATGACACAAAGGGCTTTAACAGCCATGTTCATTACAGTGATGGACACTGTTGGATAGACCCAAGGTTTACCGTATTTTAACTCGAGTTTTCCAGATTCCTTGTAAGAAACAATGTGTTTGGTCTATAGCTATATGTGCAGCTTACTATGAATTGTGCACAAACCTGAAATGGTATGAATTAATGAACTACTAGAATATCCATTGGAAGGAACCTACTAAGTATCTGAAAGCAATTAGAAGTAGTTTGCATATTGGGAAGCAGAACACTCTCGATTCCTGTGCCCAGTAGCAGCTAGCTTTACTGAACATAATTACCTATGTTGTCCTTCTCTTTGCAGGAAATGGAGTAGCAGCAGATTTCTCTGTCTTGAATAGCAGCCAGGTTCCTGGAAGAGAAGCAGCATGGAAGCAAGTTAATAAAAATCTCTAGCAGTGCCCTGTTTAATATGAAAATATTGCAATCCATGTGATAATTACCAAGGCTATTTCTAAGGTAATATACTGAAAGCTCTTGTTCAGTTCTTCCTAAGCATTGCATAATATAATCAAATTTTGTCCTGCAACATGTGTTAGCTCATAATATCTAGTTCTGAGTGGGGAAAGTCAGCATAGGCCTCTCAAGACATACATGTTAACCACTTACATTTTTTCAATAAGTTGCTTTTCATCCAAAGCATTAGCAAGGTCTCTTTTGTTTCCAAGTACTAGAACCTGAAGAGAGAAAAAAATAATTTATTTGAAACCTGCCTTCTATTATGAAGGCAGCAGCTTACATTAGCTCAGTTCCTATAAAAACAGAATGGAAAAATAAACAGCTGGGTGAAAACTACATCTGCAATCTTTCTATTGCTTCTAAGAACAGAACATTTATGGTCTGTTTAATAATTTGCATGTCTAAATTATTCTGAACTACTCACACAAGCAGCTGTACTTTTGGGGGGAAATCTATGTTTTAAGAACACTTCTGTAGTGCATTATTGTTTAGCACTGTATCCAAACTCTCTGGGTTATTTAATTACAGTGGGAACATTCAGGCAATGTGCTCAAGGATGATGGGGATGCACATTAATGCCATCCCAAAATTTAAAAGAACCTTGTGAATTGGACTATTATATATGGAACAAAGCAAGAATTAATGAAAGCCCAAGAGGAAAATCCTTCTTGTCAAACACATGGTTAAGTATACATAATAGACAGAACACCACAAGAAGTTATGTGACCTAACATCTCCACAAAGCTAAGGGTTTCTTTCAGATAGGAGTATGCAGGAGAAGGAAATCTATCTCAAATGTAATACGGGGTGTAGGACCATATATTTACTACTCACAGGAATTCCTTGTAGCTGTGGTTTGTCTAGTAAATTGTGCAGTTCATTTCTAGAAGCTTCGATTTTTTCACGATCTGCTGCATCTACCATATACCTATTAAAAGTAATTACTTTGGCTTAACTACAGTTATAAGCATTAAACTGTAATATAATGCAACCCTGTACAAACCAAGTTAACTCTCAGAAAATGACTAAACCCAAACTACTATAGGTTCTAAAATGGCTAGACAATTAAAAGCTAATGTAAAAAAGTATGAGAAACTGATGCTCCTTATACCTTTTACATTATTGATGCTCAACTGCTATGAAAGTCTCAGTGATTAAAAATTGGGCATTATGACCCCAGAGGACTTGTAAAAAGCCTGAGATAAGTAGATTAGAAAATGTATGGATGGTACAGTGTCAAATAGAATATATTCTGATATATTCTAACTTTTCAAGCAGTTGTAGCTTGTCAGGATCCTAGTGAGAATCCCTTAAGAGGTTTTTGCATAATAACCAAATGGAGATAAGGAACTGAGTGGGGAAGGCCTGCCAAACCTCAATTTGCTGGAGAGACGGATCATGCCCCTTTGTGATCGAAGACTTTACAAGATCCTTCTCTCTACTGCATGCACACTTATGCCTGTGTTTGTAATCTATAGTTTGAATGGTTCTTTGGTGGGGGCTTAGTTTAGATAGAAAGGAATACTAACTATATAATAAAATGCAAAATAGTTTCTAAACTTCCACTGGTAGCCAGAAGAGCTAGTAACTTCATTTTAAGCAATTAATTTTTAGGCTATCAATTTCTATCCTCGTGCAGCAATAATGGAATTATTATGGAATGCGCTCCCCGTAGAGGTGTGCCTGGAGCCGAGTTTATATTCTTTTTGGCACCAGGTTAAAACCTTATTATTTAACTGTTATTTTAAAAATTAATTTAGATTTTAATATTTAACAGTCACTGTTATTTAACTTACTTAATTTGTATTTTTGTTAATTGTTATTGTTTTATTGTGGTTGTTTTAATGATTGTAAGCCATCCTGAGATGTCTTGCAAAAGGGATGGCATACAAAACATTTTAAATAAATAAATAAAGTGCATTCACGTCACGTACAAAGTCATAGTTTAAACACACATTGGTCTGATTAATGTTAACTATAGTTTAGGATGATAAGAACAAAAGTCAGTCAGCCTCAGGCTCATGTGCCTTCCCTTCCTTGGTCTCAGGAAGAGTTGCAAAGTTTTTACTTCACTGCTACATGCCTTTTTTGCCTCAACTGATGAACCATAGCTAAAGTTTGATTGGTTTGAAATAAGCTAACTTGAAAGCAGGGAGGGAGGGGGGGATCCCCCTAATCACATGGAGCTGTGGTTTAGCGTGACATTCAAAAGCAGCCATGAGTACTTTGCAGTGCTTAGCAATAACTATTAAGCTGAAACTAAGCTTGAGATTGCCAAGCGCTTTAGAATGAAAGCTACTGAGTAGCTAAGAAATGCTCATAGTCTAGAACTTCCCTCCTCCCCACTGACATGGTAGAGTTCAAAGGAAAGGAGGCCCAAGACTGCATAATCTGCATTGCAAGCTTACTCCTGCACAGCTAGCGACTGGATATAGCATGACAGTAATAGCCCTGAAGAACTAGGTACAACACACAGTGGAAGCAGCCCCCTGTAGCCCCATAAGGTCTGCGCTTACACAATAGCATTAACTCCTCTGCAGTAGCGCTCCCACATACTTCGGAATCGTGGCTGTCCTCCAATATCCCAGATCTTTTAAGAGACAGAAAACTAGTGTTATGCATGAAGGGTGAATTTAAAGTTTTGCAATTCATAAAGGAAGCTGCATTTAATTTGCCAGGAGAAACAACAATGCCTTGTTAATACAGTTGACTGTTGACTAACTGTTGGAAGTGTAATACTTTTTTTCAAACACAAGTTTCTGCAATGTCCAGTAGCTGCCTCTTTTTAGGTGGAAGATAATATGGATAATGTATTCAAGCACTGATATATCCTAATGTACATGTTCTTTAAAATTACCTGTTTCTTGGAAATTACTACATGGTCAATGTAAAAATATAAATAAAATTTTCATGCTTTTTTAACAGCTACAAGGCTGATACTACAACACAGGAAAAATAAAAGCTCTACCACTTATAATGCAATGCAAAGACGACCTAACAATGCTTTCGATATTTTAATGGATGACATATAGACACCACTTTCATATGGACATACATATGAATATTTGGTCAGCCTTTGCTGAAGCTCATGTAGTGGATACACCTGGATTCAATATTGCATTGAATATTTCAGTTTCAGCAATATTTACATTTAACCAATATATAATGTCAGGGGATTTTTAATATATTTTTTGTTTCCGTGAAATACACAGTAACCAATACATGGGAGGGAGGGAGGGAGGGAGGGAACAAAACAGTTCTCCTTTAATATAGATTAAATTAGATTAATTAGAGACAGATTAGGGAACCTGTTGCTGTACTGTGCACCCTCCTGCCCAACAGACTTCCAGCCTGAGCTGACAGAGATCGTCCAGGACCTGGTGTTGAGGACCCCCATGTCTGCTCTACCCTTGCCCCTCATGGCTGTGCATCAGAGCCAAAGACAGGATAGGCACCTGGTTCCAGGAGGTTATCAATGCCTCTTCAAGGGAAAGTCAGGTCCCTGCCCCTTTGAAGGAGGCAGTGATTAGGCTTGTCCTGAAGAGAGCAACCCTGAACCCAGAAATAACTGCCAACTATAGGCCGGTGGCTAATATCCTGTTTTTGGGCAAGGTGCTCAAATGGGTGGTGGCCAGACAACTCCAGGCACTCTTGGAGAAAAAAGACCATCTAGATTCTAGATCCATTTCAATCTTACTTCAGGCCTGCAAATAAAATTGTCATCCTGTCTGACGACCTTTGCAGGGAGAGGGATGGAGGAGTACATTGCTACTGGTTCTCCTGGACCTCTCAGTGACTTTTGATACCATCGACCTTCGGGATAAGCTGGCCCGGTAGGGAACTGGTGGCACTGCTTTGCGGTGGTTCCACTCCTACCTGTCTGGTCAATTCCAGAAGGTGGTGCTGGGTGATTATGGCTCTGCGCCATGGTAATTCTGTCATGGAGTTCCGCAGGGTTCCATTTTATCTCCCTTGCTTTTTCACATCTACATGAAACTTCTGGGAGGAGTCATCCAGGGGTTTGTGCTGTGGAGTCATCAGTATGCTGATGACACCCAGCTCTATCTCTCTTACATGCAGGTGAGGCAGTGGCTGTCCTTAATGGTGCCTGCCTGAGGTAATGTGCTGGATGAGGGCCAGTAAATTGAGGCTTAATTGAGACAAGTTTGAGGTCCTGTTGATGGGCAGTTCAGCCTTCCAGGTGAATGATATCAGCCCTGTTCTGGATGGGGTTGCACTCCCCCTAAAGGACAGGGTGTGCTCCTCAATCCAGAGCTGTCAATGGAATCTCAGGTGGATGTCGTGGCGAGTACTTTTCTTCAGCTTTGGCTGATTTACCAACTGTGTCCTTACCTGAATGAGCAGTACCTAGCAATGGTGACCATGCCCTGGTAGCTTCCCAACTGGATTATTGTAGCAAGCTCTGTGTGGGGCTGCCCTTAAAGATGGTCTGGATACTTCAGTTCATTCAGAATAGAGCTCCTAGGATATTAATGGGGACCGGCAGGTATGCACATATAATGCAGCCCTTTACTGCTTACTGGCTGCCAATTGGACTGGCTGCCAATTCAAGTCCAGGCCCAATTTAAGGTGCTGGTGATGACCTATAAAGCCCTAAATGGCTTGGGTCCTGGATACCTGAAGGAGAGCCTCCTTCCCTATACGCCCTCCTGCCCCATGAGAACTGAGGTGGAGGGGCTCCTTGAAAGAGATTAGGAGGGTGGTTACCCAGAGCATGGTCTTCTCTGTGGTGGTGTCCCAGTTATGGAATATGCTCCCCAGAGAGGTTTGCCTGGCGCTAACGCTTTTTTCTTTTCAGCACCAGGCAAAACCCTTTTCCTGTTATTTTTATGTTTAATCGGTTTTAATGTGATTTTATATTATTGAATTACTGGATGCAATGCCATTTTATCTGTAGCTTGCTGTAAACCATCAAGACGCCAGTAGATGGTCTATAAAAGCTATAAATGCATGCATGCATGCATACATACATACTACTTTTACTGCAATATGGAAGGCCTTGGCAGTTATAGGCAGCCTATAAATGCAAGTATGTATGCACAAACAAACAAATTTAAAAAGATATAAATATGAAAGCTATTATCCCAAGATGTATAAACATAAAAGCTTCTGAATAATCGGAGTAATACAATAGGTGACTAGCCACTAAACACAGTAAACAAGTTCTGCATTAACTCAGTAAGCACTACTCCTATCCCACAAGAACTGAATAAGCCTGTTTCAATTACCCTGCTCTTAGCAGCTCACTTTACAGATGCAGATCAGAAGCACCAGGCTCTGATCCTCTGCTGCTTCCCATGAGATGTTTACTGCCATATTTGTTAGTTGCCCTCCAGTGACACAGTCATGTGTCCTGGAGATCCCAACCTAAACAACTGGACTGAAACAGAGCATGTTCCAACTACACTATCATCCAACGACTCAACATCATTTACCCATCTGCTGCTTTCCGTAGCCTTTTGGTGCATATTTCCAATTCACCACAGCAGTTTTCACATTAATATAGTCCTTCCAACAGCAGTTCTTCAAAGCCTAGTCATTATAGCAGAACTTGAAAAAAGCATTCATCACCCCCTATTGGGTACAGGCACTACAGCATGATGAGCTAAGCAATTTTGATGTATAAAAGACTTGCCCCTAAATAAGTTTTTAGAGGTATGCATTGTTCATTCCTGATTCAAAGAACCTGACTCTTACAAAGCAGACTAAGTACATCATTCTCTTCTCCTGCAGCCCATGACTTGAATGCAATCTTAACAGAGGGGCCCTTCTATTGATGAGAGTCATGTCAGATAATCTAAAGATGCTGCTATGAATGACCAGCACTGAATCATTGGGAAGGATGTGGGAGTCTCTTCCTTCTGAGTATTTCCCAACCAATTCTTAATTGTTCCTTTAAAAGTGGCAGCAGCTTGTTGCATCTGCCTTCACAAAAGCAGAATACGTACCTTTATCGTGACGTTACCCTTGGTAACTTTCCGCATGTTGAAACCAACTGTAGGAATCATATCTTCACTGAACTGACCTGACTGAAGAGAAAAGAGTTCAGTCATTAGTAAGACAGAGGATTAGCTTCTCTAGTATGTTTGTCCCTACTATTTTTCTTCTGGAGTAAGAATTATGGATGAAAGCACCAGAGAACATTTAGCATCTAGAATATTAACCTAAGATGCTATGTTTTTTCCTACCATCTTTTCCAAAATGACACTTGTTGTTGTGGCAACCACTAAGCACGTATCAAATCTAGGGCCATGAAATGGAAAGTGACTGGGGGTGGATTCCAAGATGGCGTCGGAATGAGACAGATATGATTAACGGAGTTTGTTTATCACACCGGTATTATTCAGCAGCGAGTCGTGGGAGACTCATCTAAGCCCTGTCGGGGTGAAGACAGATTGCCTGGGCACGCTTTTGGCTTGATGTGAGATGGCAATCTCATATCTGCTGAGAGCAATTCAGGTACTTCTCAACCGAGTAAACACAGGGGGTGGTTTCAGCCCCTTCAAGTTCTCGACATCTTAGAACAGGGGTCTCAAACTCGCGGCCCGCGGGCCAATTGCCGGGCCGGGCGGGGCTTGGGGGAGGGGCCCTGTGGCCTTCAAAGCGCTGGCGGCACCCAGGCCGGCCTCCGGGAGCAACGTGGGATGAGCGGCCCACCACCACCGCGGTGGTGGAATACTTGATGCGGCCCAGCCTCACCCAGACTGCCTCCAGGTAAATTGAGTTTGAGACCCCTGTCTTAAAAGATTAGCTTAGGATTTTTATTAGCCAGATAAGCATTGGAACTGCTGAGTAAATATTTTTTACTTCTTTTGCAATATTACCTGTGGAAAAGCTGCATTTGTTTATAATTTGGCATTAAGAAAAGAAAAACCCTCTGGATGTTTAGGCGGCGACTGAGATGAGAGAGTGCTGAGGTTTTTGTCCAAGTTGAAGCCGAAGAAAAAGACTTTTTCCTCTAACCTCTCTAAGGGTATAAAATTAGTTTAAATTTTTAAGGTGCAATTACGTGATAGGAGTTCAAAGCTTTGACTGATCATTTTGGATATCTGTTTGGACTTCTGCCAATATCAAATGGACACTTGCCAGGATATTTTTCACATTGTCGGATGCTTTCTTCTTTAATGTGACGACTGTTTGGGTGAGCATTCCTATTTTCCTTTTGCAATACTACTTGTGGAAAAACTATATCTGTTGTTAATTGGCATAAAAAAAAGAGAGAAAAGGGAGAAAAGAGGAAGGATGTAAGAATCTCCATTTCCTCTCCTGCATTTCTGGGACCTCTGCCAAAATATCTGGCAACTTACCAACCTTCTGAAAGCAAGTGATCTAGAGAAAAGTGGAACTGATTTTGGCTGCCACTTTGTGGCTATTGGAATTATTGCAAGGATGGTAGAGCTGAAGAGATTTTTTTTGGAAATACAAGAATCTTTAACAATTTTACAAATATCCCAAGAGGTGATGTTGAGACAACAGGAAATCTTCTCAACTGTACAAAAAAAGCGCTTTGATAAGCTTGATGCTTCTTTTAAGGAGATGGTGATTAATGTAGAATCCAAAACTGAACAGAATATACAAGAAATGCAACAAGTATATGAAAAATTTGAAAAAGTTGAAAAATTTGAAACTGTGGATAAAAAGAAACAAATTTGGCCACTAAAGGAAGGAATATTTTTTAAGGATGGATGGATCCTGAATTAACTAAAATTGATTCTGAGGAAGAAGAAACAGTGAAGGTTGATTTGCAGCAAAAAACACAGCCATTGGGAATAAATATTGACCTACAACAAATCACTTAAGATAAAGCAAGAAATAGTGAAGATTGAAATACAGACTTTGAAGTGGGTTGATTTTCAACAAATAACACCAAGGGGAGAAAGATGGGCTGGAGATGTAAAGTTTAAAAATATTGATTTTCAGCAAACCCTATTAAAACAAAAGCAGTTTGGAAGAGGTGTAAAAAAGAAATCTTAAAAAGGAATGGTATAAATGGGTTGGGATGTTTATTGTGGTATGGAAAGGCTAAGGTATGTGATTTTAACTGTGGAAGCTTTTCTACATTTAAATGTGTTGAATTATGAAGAGATTATAAGATAAGATTTAAACTGAACTAAGAAGGAGAATAGGAGTGGAGTCCCCCCCCCTTTTTCTCTCTCTCCTTTGTGGGTGATATAAGGGAAAATGAGAGATTCTTTTTTCTTTTTTATCTTAAAAATGAATGACCAAAAGCTAAGTTGTATGACTCTTTTGTCTTTGAATTGCTATACTAGAAAATGACTATTATGGGAGTAGAAGGAGCTGTAATAAATAGATTTCTTTTTACAAGCGAGATATATTAAAGATTGTAAGGAGCTGGACTCTTATAAGGAGTTAATTGTATGTGATTAAATGAAGTGTAAGCTAGATGAAACTTTAATAAATTAGCTTAAAGAAAATTTGTTTAAAAGATATCATAGATAATTGTCGTTAGATAAGATGTCCTTAAAGATGCTAAATGGATGTTAGACATGTGAACATAAATTGGGTAAAAAGTCTTTCGTTCTTTTTTAAGCTTGTAACTTTTCTTCTCTTTCACTTTCCTTTTTGTGGATATTAGACTGGAATACTAGTAAGCAAAAAATGTATTTGATCATATTTGTAACTATTATAATGAGGCGTTTATCTGTTTAATATTAGAAAAATGAAAAGATCTGGAATTGTGTAGAGTTACTATTGAAGAAGCTACTATTGAAGAAGAAAGGAGATATTGACTTTCATCAAATTTGGAGAGTCTTTCTTTTAATATTGGTCAAGGAAAACGGGACTCTGTAAGAAATGGATGGACTGATCCTACTGCAGAAGGAGAAAGAAGATAGTGACTTCTATCAAATTTAGAACTTTTTTATTATTATTGGCTGGAGAAACGGGACTTGGTTTAGATCTAAAAATGTTTTAAGATTCCATAAATGGATCTGAATATGATTACAGAATGTTTAAAGATATGTAGTAAGGGGCTGACTCAGTAGTTCCAATGTTTGTGATGACTGATGTTTTTCATACTGTTTTAAAATTTAATTAAAAAGTACTGCAAAAAAAAGAAAGTGACTGGGGGTGGCAGGCAGGGGGAGAGATACCTGGCATATATTGAGTCACATACAGTGGCTCCAAAATATCTTGCAGGTTTACAAAGACGGAATAGGAAGGATTAATTCTTCCTTGCAGTCTATTGGAAGCCAAGTATGCCACTCCCAAAAACAGTTTCCTTCAAACTGTGTTAAGAACTTATTAGCCAACTAAAACAGACTCTCTCATGTTTTATGAAATAAACAATCAGCCCCAGCTGCAATGCTCCCAATTCCCTGGGGCAAAAGGCCAGCATCTGGAAGAACTTGAAGAGCCTATGCAACTCACAAGGAGCTTCACTGGCATCCAGTTGTGTAACTTCAAGATATCAAACTTGAAAATCTACTCTAGGGTGTGTCCAGCCTTGAAACACTTGGGAAATATTTCAGAATAAGCTCCAATGCTGTACTGGAGCATGAATTATTGTGAGCATAATGGTTTCAAATGCCACAGACTGCTTTTTATTTCCCCACTGCCAGACACGTGAGCAGCACCAAAATATGGATTCCCATCATCAAGCTGTTTGCATAGGAATCCATAAAGCAAGTAGGAAAGGCCTGAGTGGATCATCAAGCTGCAAATCCTGTAAGACCAGATCCATGCTTTTTCTATCTGGCTTATCTCATCTTAGGTTGGAGAGCAGGGCCTTGACTGATTCAACTACGAAGGCTAAGAAGTGTGTCTGGTCTGAACCATTTTGTTCTTAACACTCTTTCTTCTCAGCACTAAGCTCAATCAATGTACGTCATAATATACAAGCACCTCTCTTCCACCCCATACAGCTCAGTTCCGCCCCATCCCCACAGCTGATATGTCAGGACAGAGCATTTAACAGGGAGCAAAACAGGGGAATTCTAAGAGATAACCACTACAACTTTATCTCATGTTTCCTCACCCACACCCCTACACCATATCAGAAAAATGTGTCTGGAATGTTCTGCAGTTCTACAATACTCTTCCCTTGCTACAGCAGGAAACATGCTCCCCCACGTGTTAGCCAAAACCATCTGTGCTGATCCAGCCATTAGGACCTCTTGCGCACCTTCGTACTGCATGTGAATGAGCAACCCCCAAGAGGAAAGAGGACAGCATACCCATAGTGGAGTGGAAGGCTCAGATATGAACCCTGGGTGAGCGCTACAGCAGCACCACTCTCTCTTGTCCCTCACCCCAAGAAGCTTTTGTATGCATGTGTGATTGGTAGTTATGTTCTCTCCACCTATTACTCTCTGTTAGTCTTCCATTCCTCACCACAGATGGCTCACCCTCAAGCGCTGGGTCCAATACCCTATTCTTTACAGAGCAGGAAGGAGGCCCATCCTGTAGCTGTGGCCAGGATACCGTACGAGGTTGCTCTGTAGAGTTCTTCAACTACTTGCTCCAGACAAGTTTCTCTTCCCTTCCAACTCCTTGACAGAACATCTGAACTTGGGACAACTTGGAACAGGACCTTTTGTCTTTCGAAACTGGGATGGGCAGGGACTTTGAGGCTGAGGCAGTCACCTGATTTGCACATAGGAAGCCACACTGGGTGAGGGGGGTTGTTGTTAAATGCACCCACAGAGGATGTGTTTGTGTTAGTGGAATGATGGACATCCCATGCAGAGTCCTTGGGCAATTTTTGGATTGTACTTGAAGGAGCGCTGATGAGTGTTGCTGGAATGCTACCAGGAAAAAGCCACTAGGTAACAGAGGGGGAGCTGCCTTGGTAACACAGGTTGCCAAGGAGTATGAAGCAAAAAGGCTTGCTGTACACTCTTCTTGATTGGTTCAGGCAGTGGGGCCTCTCCACTTTTGCTGCATCATGCTGGCTCATAGATTTGAATGGGGGTGGGGGGTGGGGAGAGACAGCTAAATGTGAGCTGTCCTACAAGGCCATGTTCTCCTTGCTTTTTTATTTGGGTGATGGGAAGGGAAAGAGAAATAT